TTTTTTTAATTATCGTTTTTATATACAACGAATTTACATGTGCTATGACAAAATTCAGTTTTAAGTGAGCAGAAAAAATATCACCTGATGATTACTTGAACGCGATGTAATAGTAAAATGCTTGTCTCGCTAGATCAATTAAGACAGAGAATTTAGTCGGGTGCTCCATACTTTTCATCTTCTGCTACATTTAGTAAAATAAAGAAAATCTTTTAAGAAGCAGGAGTAAAGTAAGTGTAATTACTTGCTTACTGATTCTTAAACAAAAAGATTTATAAATTTCTATAATATTAAGCCCAGCAACGGTGATTTTGCGACCTGGATGAGTCATCGTTCGTAGTAACCATTGTTGTTGTATGACATTTCCTATTGGTGTAAATTACCGGGACTGAACTGAAAAAAATGTTTTTTCTGAAATTATGAGTGAAAATAATGTGTAAGTTGATTTTCTTAACAGCGTAAGTAAAGTAAGTAAAGAATAGAAGCTTGCTGAATTAATATTTATCATTATTTTAATACAAACATTAGAATATGTGTGAACCTGGTCCACCATAGTTTTTTCTTTCTAGCTCTTAGTAATGTTCTTTTATTTTTGTTTTTATTTTTCTATCTTTCGTAATATTTGTTCTGTCATCCATACAAGGTTGTTAGGTCCGTTATGCGTGTTTTTCCTCTGCCTATCTTACCTTCAAAATGTTTTGTGTGTGTTAAATTTTCCAAACCGTCTTTCTTCATTACATGCTCTGGAACTAGCTCTTTTATTTTCTATTTTCTCTAAATCCTCGTCGTTTCCCATATGTTCACAACATGGTATTCTCAGCCCCTTTTTTGTAGAACCACATTTTTGTTGCTTCAAGTTTCTCCTACTTCTGAGAGGAATTTGTCGAGCATTCATTGTCATCCGGGAAAACTGATATTACGTAACAGTTCACTTGTCTTTTCTTTGTTTCTTATTTCTTCTATTTCTTATTCCTTTGCTTAAATTCTCGAAGGCATTTTTCGCTACCCCAATGTGTCTTAAGATTTTTGGTGTCTCTTTTCTCATCCCCTGTTAAACACTTCCCAGATATTTGAATTGTTGTTCTTGTTTGATTTCGGTATTTCCAATTTGTAATTTACATGTTGGGATGTCCCCTTTTGCTGACGACCTTTCTGTCTTCTTACAATTGATGCTTACTCTTTTCTTCCCACTTTACTTCTCTGAATGTTGTAGGAGTTCTTGTAGTGTACGTTTTGTATCTGCTATCAACAAATTGCCATTTGTATATTTTATGTTGTTAAGGTTGTGGCCGCCCGTAATGAATCGGAGATTACTCTGTTCTAAAATCGTGTTATTCGTGGCCGATCTCAAAAGCATCCAAATTGCCGTTTGCAATCTCAGTTTGGTGTTGTTCTTTACTTATATTTGCTCAATTTTGATTGGTGTAAAAACTGGCCTTCCTCTGGTTAAACTTCTATAGCAACCTCTGTGAACACGATACGATTAAGGACTTAATATTGCTAGTCTCAGTTACGTTATATTTTGAATTTTGAAAAGCTTCAGGAAACCTAAGGTTGACCCGACCGAGATGAAATGTTTTGTAATATAGTAACAAACCTAAGTAGAAGTTTATGAAGCTTTATTTTAATAATTCAGTCCGGTGTTGTTCCATACTGAATTTGGTCAATTTTGATTGGTGTAAAAACTGGCATTCCTCTGGTTAAACTTCTATAGCAACCTCTGTGAAGACGATACTCTATAGACATTAAGGAGTTAATATTGCCAGACTCGGTTACGTCAGGGAATTTTCTGAAACGCTTCCCGAACGCGATGAAATGATTTGTAATGTAGTAACAACGTCATGAAAAAAAGGTTTTAGTCCACATGTAATTTTTAAACATCAAACTAGCAGTATATTACACTAGCTATAGCAAAAAATGATCTTCTTTTATATGCCATGTCCTCTCAGAAGGTTGGCCATCATGGCTCTCCACAGCTTTCTATACTTTATTTAAATTATTCGGATTATTTCCTTCATCTTTGTCGCCATATTTATCACAACGTTTCGGCCGTTGTACGCTCTGACCTTCTTCAGGTTGTTGGAATGTCGAACTGAAACCTTTATTTCGCTCACTGGGGTAGAGTGTTCTAGTTCCACGTGCCATGTTAGTCCATGAAATATTAATTCTCTTTTTCCTTCCTCAGTTTTAATGCTTGAGTTCTTCTGAACATTTTCAAAATGTCTCTTTAAAGAAGTTCTACAAATGATTGTTTCGGAACAGAAAATGCATAAGGCTTTATTGCCTTTCTTAATCATGTCAATGTTTTCAGTCTCGTATTCTTTAATTTCTCTAATATCCTCTTTATTTGAATGACATTATTTACACTATTCGGATTATTGCCCTCATCTTTGTCGCCATATTTATCACAACGTTTCGGCCGTTGTACGCTCCGGCCTTCTTCAGGTGGTTGGGATGTCGAACTGAACCCTTTATTTCGCTCGCTGGGGTAGACTGTTCGACATTCCAACCACCTGAAGAAAGCCGGAGTACATAATGCTTCATCTCAGAAATATAGACAGATTCCTGTACTTTGTAGGTTTTACTAAATTTTGTCTTTTTGTTCTCCCTCCTCTAAGCTGTTCTGTCATCTATTGTCAAGGTAGGTTATGCGCCGTTTTCGCCTGTCCCTCTTGTCTTCAATCTGTCCTGTGAGTGTCAAATTTTCCAATGCCTCTCTCCTCATTATGTGACCTCAAAACTTCAACTGTCTCTTTCTGCTGTCAAGTATAACCGTCCATTTTCTCTAAGACTTTGTCTTTACTCGCATGTTCAGTCAATAGCATCCTCAACATCCTTCTGTAGAACCACATTTCTGTTGCCTCCAACTTCTTCTTTATCTTTGAAGAGATATCCCACATTTCCAGTCATATAAGTGGACTGATATCACGTAAGAGTTCAGTACTCTTTCTTTTTGTTTCCAACGATTTTTTTTCTGTTTCTTAATCATTTGCTTAGGTTTTGGAAGGCATCTTTCTCTATTCCAACGCGCTTTCAGATTTTACGAAAATTTAAATGTCCTTACTGGCTTGATTTTAGTTTCTGGGTGTAACAGGAAAATTGTCCAAATCGTGTAACAGAAGGGGGTAATTGTTCATCAAACAAAATGTTTAATATCTAAATAATCAAATGAGTTTCATTTTTCCAGCTTTTCAGATGAGAAGATTATCCATCTTCACCCCATTTATCGTAAGAATCACTGAAAGCCCCTCTGAGTTATTCAGCTGGAAAGAGAACAGGATAAAATCGGTTTGCGTCAGCCCCACTCTGTCTTCTCAACTGAACAATGGTGAGAGGAAAAAGATCATTGAGGCCTTCGGTAATGGCACCAACCTTCATACTCTGGCTTCCATGTTCAAAGTCCATTCTGACACACACGATTCACGTACGATTTCATTTAAAATATTTCTTCACTGCTCGTTGGAATGTCATAATTGAAACACCACTCTCCAAACGTCCTATGGATTGAGTTGGATCTTTTCTAATTGATCTCCTTAGCTCTCAGTTGAATCCTTCTTCCTGTTGTGATCTCCTGGTTCAGTTTTTCAGATCTACGGTTCCCACGTTTTGAAACTTTTGCAATGTTCTCTTAATGGTTCTTGAATGGACTTTGAAATTAGAATCAATAGTATGAATGTTGGTACCAATACTGTAGGCCTGAATGATCTTTTTCCTCTCACCATTGCTCAGTTGGGTTGACATAATAGTTAACATGAATAGTGCCGAGATGGCTAAACGTCTTATATGAAAACCTGGAAAAAAGAAACTAAATTAGTTAAGTGTTTTTTTCAGAGATATTAACCACTTTGTGGGATGGACAATTATGGTGTTACACGATTTGCATAATTTTGCCCTTAAAATCTATCTATCTATCTATCTATCTATATATATATATATATATATATATATATATATATATATATATAACAAGCATTAAATTTATTTTCTTTGTGGAGTTTTTAAACATTCAAATTACTATCAAACGTTAAAATCTGTGTTTATCTAAATTGCTAAAGCTATACCACCCCTCTTCTTCCTTCAAAAACCCTACGTACATCTCTTATCTCTTTACTTCCCCCTTTTTTCTTTTTCACTTTTTCTCCTTTTCTTTTTCTTTTATCATTTTCGTTGAGTTGAACAATTAAATAGGTCAATGTCGGATCCTTACCCCTCCTTCCTCAATATTAAGTATTATAATAAAAAGAAATATAAAAAATAAACTTTAAAACTCTCCTTTCCCTCTCTAAACTCGACCATGTCTCTCATACCATTCCTCACCACCCTCTATGTCAACTTATATAAGCTTAATACTGCCTGTCAAAACTGTAAATTTTTAATTCATTTTTCGTTTCACCTTTTGAAAGTGAAGTCTGAAGATCCAGAGAAAAATAAAATTCTCTGGTGAAATAAATTATTACAATGGAGCCTTAAAGTCGTCTATTTTTCTTTAAATTAAATTATTCGCTTTGAAATAACATTGAGCTCTCAGGGTTTCATCCTTCTTGGGATTATCCATACGGATTACGAAGATTGTCGTTACTTATATATATATATATATATATATATATATATATATATATATATATGTGCGTGTGTGTGTGTGTGTGCGCGCGTTTGTGTGTGCATTTTGTATCAGTACACATTTGTGTAAATAAATATATCAATAGCCCAACAGCTTTTTTGTGGAGTTCCCCACCCGCCAGTCACCTAGCAACACAAGTGTTTTCGTCTAATTGTTTGTTTTTTTTTCCCCGTGGCTGACGTCAGTGATTGGATTATCGATTTGCTAAAGCAATGCATCTCTATTACATAGCTTGTTGGTATCAGCGATCGGCTAGCCAACAGAAATCGATAGTCCAGCCATCACACCGCGTTTTATATATCAGACAACAAAGATGAAATCAATTTTAATATATTGCGCACACTAAAACTCAGCCGTCGAAATCGTCCGATTAAAGAGGATGAAACATCGCTGCAGCGTTGATCGCGCTTCCACGAATATCCGCAAATGCAACCAATGGGTTTTCCGACCGAGGAGGGGAGGCAGACGAGCAGGTGGATTTCGATTTTTCACGAAATTATTAAATTTAAATGAAGGAGATCCGTCCTGTATTAATAGTCAAATGTTACCCTCGATTGTTTTATAAGAAGCGGAAAATTGTTTCATCATCGGCAACCATCAGCCCTATGACCTGTCGCGGTGTTAAGTCCTCTCAGCAGCTGAGTAACTATTATTATTATTATTAATAATAATAATAATAATAACCAATGCTTGCTAACTAGGAATTGTCACCAATCCTTTTGAACTAGGAATTATCAAGCACATATACTAAAATATTGTGTCAGCCCATGCAGATTCTGTGATAAATATCCAGAAACGATTGATCATCTTGTATCAGGTTGCACGATGTTGGCACCCACTGAATATAAAACCCGACATGACAGAGTGGGCCATTATCTGCACTGGAAAATCTGCAACTTCTACGAGAAGGAAACTGAAAAAGAAACTGGTATGAACACCACTCAGACCCGGTTACGGAGATAGGACCTGTTACAATTCTATGGGACTACACAATACACTGACAGAACAATCAAGGCCAACCGCCCAGATATTGTTATTAAAGACCACAAACAAAAACGGTGCCTCCTTATTGATATGGTAGTCCCTGCTGACTGCAATGCATCTTTGAAGATATTCAAAAAGTTGTCAAAGTACAAGGACCTTGAAATAGAAATCTCGAAAATGTGGCATATGGGAACATCAACAATTCCTGTTGTAGTTGGAGCCCTAGGACTGGTTGGAAAAGATTGCAGTAGACTAATTAAGGGATTCCTGGAAGTCGATACCTCAAAAAGATACGAAAAATTGTTCTAACAAGTACAGCCCACACTTTACGAAGGGCTTTATCTATTTAATTTTTTTTTTTTTTTTTTTTTTGCCAGTGGAAAGTGTCATGACGCCATTTCTAACCTTAGGTCCCTGGGCGGGACCCGGAGGAAAGAAATGTGTAAACGCCGGAAATCAAAGGAAATAAAAATAATAATAAGAAGAAGAACATTAACAAGCAGGGTGAGTGTAAATTACAGTTAACTAATAAACTTTTAATGTACTCTGTACTTTTCAAACTGTGACCAGTAGCAGACCTGGATTTTAGTTGCCCTGAAGCTTGAACAGATATTGGGGTCCCCTTTGCAATCAGCAACAATAGATTCCAGGGTCCAACTGCCAAAAGGTAGACTATAAATAGATTCTGTTGAGCTCAACGAGTCTATACATCTTGAGGTGGGATGCTGCAAGCCCACAAGAAATTTTTTCAAATTTGACTAATTACAGAATTACTCCCCTTCCAATCACCCCCTCTCTGTGTTGCGCTGTCTCTCTATGTCCCCCTCTCCCTCTCTCTCTGTTTTATGATGTTATTATTTCTTGATTTGAAATACATCAAATATTACTAACTACAATGAACACCTGGGCAAAGCTGTAGAGTACAGTAGCAGAGATGCTGTGATTATCACAACAAAGGTGAGGCTTATCTACAAATCCCAGTATAAGAAGAGAGTACGAAAATCCTTTGCATTAATACGCACAAAGGGTTGTACAAATTCAACAGACTACCATTCGGAGTAAAAGTTGCACCAGCAATTTTTCAGCAAACGATGGACACAATGCTCACGGGCCAGAATTTCGCGACCGCTTATCTGGATGATATTCTGATTAAGAGCGACAATGTTGAAGAGCACACATCACACATAAAAGAAGTTTTTAGAAGACTTCAGGACTTTGGGTTCAAAGTAAAAGGAGAAAAGTGTGATTTTTTCCTAAATGAAATTAAATATTTAGGACAGATAATAAATGAAAATGGCAGGAAACCGGACCCAGAGAGGGCATCGGCAATTAAAAATACGCCGGAACCAAAAAACGTTGCAGTACTACAAAGTTTCCTGCGTCTAGCTAACTACTATTCGAATTTCTTGACAATATGCATAAACTGAGGCCTCCGCTAAATGAGTTACTAAAAAAGGAGAATAATTGGAATTGGACAGAGGACTGTAAAAAAGCATTTAAGGAAATAATGCAAAAATACTACCCCCACAAAAAAAGGATCTAAGGAGCGGGGTGTTACGGGGTCCTCCTCTTTTTCATATAAGTGAACTCGACCAGAGTGTTACTGGGACTGCTGCCGTTAAATACCCACAGTCAGTCAGAATATAGAGATTGATGGAGATTGAGGGGGTGAGCAGAGATTGTGATTGAGTTGGAGGTAGAGTAATAGTGTGAGGTAACCGCTTGTAGAAGTCAGTTACAAGCACGTAGACTCTAAGGAAGTCCTACTTCGAGACTATATCTATATATATTATTATTACGACTAACCGCGTCCCTGGATTTACTAACAATATACCCATTGTATTATTGTATAAATACATTTAATTTCTTATCTTTATTTCTTGCGTTTGTCATTCATTGGAGACCGAATTTCATCTCGGAATCCACAATAGTAACTAACCCTGCAAACTCCATCCTGGCTATGAGCTAGATAGCTGTGCATAATGTCTCAATGCCTTGGTTGGAAGCCAATATATGAGAACAACTAAGAATAAAAATCGGCCGTTCAGGGTAAGACATTAAACTATGTCCAGCAGCAAGGACACCGATGAGGAGGTTTTGAGGAGCGTGTAACCACCTCTTAATTGCTGGTGTTCCCAGGTCCACCCTGACCCGGGGAGGTAGCACCTATTAGGGTCCCAGCTATGGGCAAATAGTTAACTATTACCAGCAATACTTCTCGTAAAAAATTATTACCAGTAATACAACTTTGAAAGAAATATATTGACAGAAACAGATTTTTGACAAAACAAAATATTACTAGCAATAAAGAATTTTGTCGGCATTGACTAGCCCATTGGGGTTGGTGTGCCGTGGGACAAAATAAACCCAACCAATCTAAACCAAAGAATACATATTCTATTCATACAAATCTATCCTAAAAATGTTGTCGGCATTAAACAACCCCTTGAGGTTGATATGCCGTAAAATAAAATAAACCAAACCAATCTAAACCAAAGAATACATATTCTCTGCATACAAATCTATCCTAAAAATGTTGTCGGCATTAAATAACCCATAGAGGTGTTGATATTCTGTAAAACAAACCAAACCAAAGCAAACCAACCAGACTTTAAGTGGAACTCGTACATACGATCCATCGTTAAAGCTATAAAAATCTTGCTGGCATTAAATAACCCATTGAGGTTGATATGCCATAAAACAAACCAAACCAAACCAATACAAAATCGTTAATAAATTAACTGAAAAACCATTCTACTGTGTTTCCGAAGAAATAAGTACAATGCACTGATAATAAAATATATTAAGTATAACTGTCCATTTTTTTCTAAGATTTTGTGGTAACTCACATATTTAGTCCATGGTATTCTCAGTATCCTTCTGTAGAACCACATTTGTGTTGCATCAAGCCTCTTCTTCATGTTTGCAGATATTGTCCTACAATCACTGTTATATAAGAGGAATGGTATCACGTAAGAGTCCAGTACTCCTTTATTTATTTCCAACGAAGTCCTTCTGTTTCTTAATCATTTACTTAGCTTCTGGAAGGCATCTTTCGCCATTCCAAAATGCCCTCGGATTTCGGTGTCATATTTTCCGTAATTTATTAAACATTTTATAAGACTTTAAGAAGAGTCTTTCATCATCGGCAGCCATCAGTCGTATGACCTGATATGGTGTTTAGGTCTCTGAGCAGCTGAGTATCTAAACACTTCCCTGTCAACTCCATCCTTGCTATGAGCTAGATAGCTGCTCAAATCCAGTCTTATTGCCTTGGTTGGAAGCCAGTATATGAGTAGAACAACTAAGAATACAAAACCACTAATGAGGTAACTGCATTACATTGTTTTTCCGAAGAAATGTGTACAATTCACTGATATTAAAAAATGAATCTCTGCAGAGATGGCCTCTTGTAGAAAAATGGAATTTAGAACCAAAATATCAAAATATATCTGAAATTTTCTACGGAGTAACATATATTTTCATGGCAACTGCTCATGGGGACAAATGTTGCACCAACATATGCCAACCTAGCCATGGTATACCATCAACTAAAAATATATAAAATAACCTCAGAATCCTATGGGAGTGACTACATCAGCTATATAAAAGAAAACTAGAAAATATGTCTGGCTTTGGGAAGTAAAAAATTGGCCATTGTAACGTGTCTTAGTCTAAGTAAACTACTGGACGAATGATCAGATGTGGTGCAAGCACGTGAAGTCGTTCCTGTTGGCCAATCATGATCTCGAATAGGATGCTGATACCAGCCCGTTTTGAAAGATTTTGCGCAACAATAGAACTCTAAATTTAATGACTTTATTTATAATGCAAGTTCCAATGAAAATATTGTTAAGGATACTGACCAGTGTAATTGTAGAAATCCTAACCAATGCTCATTGTCAAACAAATGTTTAACTGAATCACTTGTGTATTTTTGTATTTTGTATTTTGTATCTCTACAATGGAAAATCCGAGGGTTGAAAAGTTCTATATTGGTAGTACTAAGAATAACTTTCAAAATTCGGTGGTTTTCAACCCTCGCATTTTCCATTGTAGAGAGAACAAAAATACACAAGTGATTCGGTTAAAAAACTTTTTCCCTGGTGCTCCGACTACGTGAATATTAGCGTGCTACCAGGTTGGCATCTAGGTCCCACCCGTTTACTGTTAAAATAGTTAAATGCATCCGCCACTTCTGCTCCAACAGATTCTTTTCTCGTACTTCACGCCAGTGGAACTCTCTTCCATTTCCTTACTAACCTGATAACTAAAACCTTCCAAAAATTAAATGCAGTGTCAATCGTCATCTTCTATCTTCTTGAATCCCGTTCATCTGCGTCCTTTTCTCACAGCTACCTATCCTCAGTCTTTTCTCTTGCTTTCACTTTCACTTTCACTTTCACTTTTACTTTGAGTTTCATTCCATCTCAACCCCCTGCGCACTATTGGTATTCTGTAATGTCATCGAACCTGACTTTCTCAGCGACGTGATGTGGCTTCCCTTTGTCTTTTCTACAAATATTTTCATGGCCAGGCTTTGACGAGTTTCTTTCCCCAGGTGCCCTGACTATGGGAAATTAAGCGTGTTACTAGATTGGCATCTAGGTTCCACACGTTTACTGTTGAAATTGCTAAACGCAACCGCCACTTCTACTCCAATAGTTTCTTTTTTCGTAATTCCCGCCCGGGGAACTATCTTCCGATACCTTGCTTCCCTGATAACTAAAATCTTCAAAGAATTAAATGCGAGGTCAATCGCCATCTTCTATATTTTAAAATCCCGTTCATCTCCGCCCTTTTCTCACTGCTCCCTATACCTTTTCTCTTACTTTCACTTTCACTTTCACTTTTATTTTCAGTTTCATTCCTTGTCAACTCTTTGCTCTCTAGTGGCATTCTATAATGTCATAGATTCTGACTTTCTCACTGACGTGATGTTGCATCCATTTGTCTTTTCTACAAATATTTTCAAGGCAAGGTTTTGACGAGTTTTCCCCCTAGTGGCCCGACTACAAGAATTTAAGTGGGCTGCTAGATAGGCATTTAGGTCGCACCAGTTTACTGTTAAAATTGCTAAACGCAACCGCTACTTCTACTCTAAGAGTTTCTTTTCTCGTACTCCCTGCCCGTGGAACTCCCTTCCGTTTACTTTCTTAACTGATAAATGCAATCTCGAATAGTTTAAATGCAACGTCAATCGTCGTCATCTGTCTTCTTGAAACCCGTTCTCCTTTCGTCTATCCTCCTACTGCTCACTCTTCTTTCTGACTTCCCCTCTCTCTAACCCCCTGGGTACTAGTGGCATTTCTTGCGGTAAAATGATTAAACAAAAATACAATTCTTTTTCTTCATCGCCATGCATAATTAACGTTTGCTATTAAAATGATGTAAGCAAAAACCAGCCTCGGGACTCCGTTTTTTTTCACCCAATCCAAAGAGCCGCTCAAGGTAGAGCGTTACTATGTGCTGTTGCATGAGCGTAAGAAAGGAAAAGAAGTGAAGTTCTTTGATGAGGTCAAGATCTAATAAAAGTATAGGATTTCAGAGTTCAGGCGGAGACGTTAAAAGTATGGCGTAGAAGTAGATTTTAGAAGGAATTTTATAAACCCAATCCTAGACAGGAAGCAAGGGATAAACCTCTACTACTGCTCCCATAACTAGAGAGGAGTGTCAACCGGGCGATATCCCTACCTATCTATTCCTACATTAAGAAAAAATACTTAATAAGATTTCAGGCGCCAGTCGGAGACGTTAGGAGTATAGAGCTGAAACAGACTTTAGGGGGAACTGGGAGTCCCACTAGCACTCAAAAGGTTACAGAGAGTGAAAGTAAGCGTAAAGGGAGGTTTTGAGGAAAGGATAAAAGGAAGGACGGGAATCAAGATCAAGGCATCAGTATATGTCGATTGACATTACATTTAAACTTTTGAAGATTATAGTGATCAGGGAAGCAAGTAAGAGGAAGGGAGTTGTACAGACGGGAAGTCCGGGAGAAGAAACTGTTGGAGTAGAAGAGGCGGTTACATTTAACTGTTTCGACAGTAAAAGAGTGGGACCGAAATGCCAACCTAGTAGTACGCTTACATTTATGCAAGCGGGGCACCATTGAAAATATCTCGTCAGTTCAGATGCCAGGAAAATATCTAAGACGAAGGGAAGCCATATTACATGACTGATGTCGAGATGCCAGGTCAGTACCTATCACATTGCATATTCGTCTTTGGATTTTGTCGAGAACATCGAGATGAAAATCGGGCGGGTGGGGGTGGCACTAGACCATATATGACAAAAGTATTCAATGCTGGGACGAATGGTAGATTTGTAGATTTGAAGGATACCCAGAGAACCAACTCTCCTTGCGGTAGATGAAGCTATTGCTTCAACAGAGTTGTTCAACCTCCTATTTTAAACAGGTAACTAGGGTAACACTCCTACGCCTGTTAAAATAAAACTGAGGAGAAGTACGAACTGGACGATAGGCGAGCCTATCTACTCCTATTCTTCAAGGAAATGAAAATTTCATTCAGTGTTTTCGGTGACAAATGACATTCACTATTAAGGCTGCCTCCAAACTCAAATAACTCCTGTTCAAGAGACTGAGGAGGAGGAGTGCGAACCGGACGATACGCACACCTGCACATTCCCATTTTTAATAATAATAATTAGTGGATAAATATTAGGAGTTCAGGAGGAGAGGCCAGAGTAAGACGGTCGAGGCTGACTCAAGAAGAAACCGGAAACCCAAACATCAGCAAGAGCCGGACACCCTATCCCTAGCAAGAACCGTGAACCCAATTCACAGCAAGAACCGGAAACCCAATCCACAGCAAGAACAGGAAACCCAATATCCAGCAAGAACCGCAAAGTCAATTGCCAGCAAGAAGCGGAAACCCAATCTACAGCAATAAACGGAAACGCAATCCACGGCAAGAAGCGGAAACCCAATTCACAACGAGAACCGGAAACCAATCCATAGCAAGAACCGGAAACCCTATCTCCAGCAAGAACCGGAAACCCAATCCCCAGCAAGAACCGGAAACCCAATCCCCGGCAAGAGCCGGATACTCAATCCCCAACAAGAACCGGAAACCCAATCCCCGGCAAGAGCCGGATACTCAATCCCCAGCAAGAACCGGAAACCCAATTCCTGGCAAGAGCCGGATACTCAATCCCCAGCAAGAACCGGAAACCCAATCCCCGGCAAGAGCCGGATACTCAATCCACAGCAAGAACCGGAAACCCAATCCACTACAAGAAAGGGACACTCAATCCACAGCAAGAACCGGAAACCCAATCCCCGGCAAGAGCCGGATACTCAATCCCCAGCAAGAACCGGAAACCCAATCCCCGGCAAGAGCCGGATACTCAATCCCCAGCAAGAACCGGAAACCCAATCCCCGGCAAGGGCCGGATACTCAATCCACAGCAAGAAACGGAAACCCAATCCCCGGAAAGAGCCGGATACTCAATCCACAGCAAGAACCGGAAACCCAATCTACAGCAATAAACGGAAACCCATTCCACTACAAGAACGGGACACTCAATCCACAGCAAGAACCGGAAATCAAATCCAATCCACAGCAGGGAAAGCTAATAAATCGTAAAGGAGATTACGGCGACGTATATATGCGTTAGGGTAGAATTAGTTATGAAACTGATAGTTGAATGTTGAAAATGTATTCATTCGTGCTTAGCCTGGGAACATCGATCCTCGCTGGGTACCCCATATTTTCGGCCTTGTGCCACTTCCAAGGTAAGCTTAGAAAATCATTTTGGGGTATTCCAACGAGGTGAAATGGTTAGCAGGCTTGTCTCGCTCAATCAGTTATGGCTGAGTAGTGGGTTTGGTCCTCACTGGGTGCTCCACACTTTCGGCCTTGTGCCGCATCTAAGCTACGCGTGGAGCTAATCTCTCTCGTCTTAAAACCATCGCTAATGTCTTTCAGCATGACCGTTGATTCCATCGAAGGAACCTTCAACATGCCCGTTGACATCAGTTAAGTTTTGAAAGTATTTGGAATTTTATATATAAGCATTATTTTAATCATAGCACCTGTATGGGTGTGAAACTTGGCCTTTCCTGGTTAAAGCAGGAAAAACGACCCTGGAACTCGAGAACAAATGCTTGAGTAAGCCCCTCAGTACCCCCACTGGGGGCACAAAACCAATGACTATGTACGGAGTAAGGTCGAAAGACTCGTGGACCGAGAGGAATCTCTCCTCGCCAGGAATCTCTCTTCGCGTCAGAAGATGATATGGTTTGTCCATGTCAAACGGCATTACGGCCTCTACAGGACCATCATGCAATTCCCTGTTGAAGGCGGGCAAAAGCCGGTCAGACAACATGAAAGAGTCACGACCAACAGATCAGCCTGGAGGAGGATTTTTTGTGTCTAACCTTTAGGTTCCGCCGACGATTGAAGCAGTCAGGGGGCTGATGATGATGATGATGATGATGATGATGATGATGATGATGAAAGAGCTACAAAGAACAGGAAATGGTGGAGATCCACGATCGCCTACATTCTGATGAGTCACGGCATTAGATTTCCTTCACGTTAATTTCGGTTGCTTTTCATCGAAATTATCCTGTGAGTGTACGGCTATTATTAAATAGAATAAATTGTAAAATAATAAATCAATTTTAGTAATGTCTGATAAATCTTCCTGCAATAAAAAAAAATCTAAATTATATCATACTTATTATAAAACCCAGGTTGTGTGTGTGTCTGTTCGTTTATATATTGGATCGGATTTCCTACATTTTTCAACCGATTTCAACAAAACTTCACAGGACTACGTAAAATTACTTTGCGGTGGTTTTGACAGCACTAAAAATAGGAAAAACACAATTATTTTTGCACGAAATCAATTTGAAAATACGATTAAGAGGCATCACGAGAATGAAAGGGGGACAACTCATATCGAGTTATACTTATTATTAAACCCAGGTTGTTTGTGTGTGTGTTCGTTTATATATGGGATGGGATTTCCTACATTTTTCAACCGATTTCAACAAAACCTCACTTTTTTTGCTAGGTAGTGTTTCTTATTGTCTTGCACACTTTTTTCTTTATTTTTACATTCAGAATGCTTTAAAAATTCCATTTACAAGACAATTGTTTATAATAAAATTCTATTCAATCGCTAGACTCATAACGATTGAAAACATTGTTTTTGTTTGAGTTTGGGTTTGACTAATTCGTAAAAAAACAAAAAAACAAAAAAAATCTAATTAAGACATGCGTGTCCGTCAACCTTAAACAATGATCTTTGTCAATTTTATTTTTCAGTCTTTATGATGGTCGATACTTGATCTATCTCTTACTGTTACATCCCCGGGCAACGCCGGGCTCTACTGCTAGTTACTATTAATAAAAAAAAATTAGATTCCATTATTTTTAAATAAATCGCTATCATAGGGTGCTCCATATTTCTGGTTTTGTTCTGGATCTATGTAACCCTTAGTAAATCGCTTAAAACTCATTTTTGTTCATGCTTTAGTCATACACAGGTAATTTGACGTGGTGTAATGGTTAACAAGCTTGTCAATCTACTTTGTACTGAGTTTGAGCCTCGCTGTGCTCCATATTTCCGGCCTTGTACCATATTTAAGCTACGCTTAGTCTGTCGCTATTTTAGTTGAAGATCCGTTTTTGATAAGTTTGGAAATTATTAACTGAATTTTTGTTCTTGTTTTGTCGTAGATCTTTTATTTGTCTGCAAATATAAACAGTTGCACGATGTGGATTTAGGCTTCTGCACAACAGCTGTCGAGCGATGGATGCAGTGGCAATCTCACTGCGTAACTGTAAATAAATAATCAATAGTGAAGACGAGTTGCTGCCTCTGTCTGCCTATAGGGTTATCCGTGATATTAAGTTAGTGTAGAGAGTAAGTATTCATATATTCAGGGGAATTACAGATGCACGAAAAGAGTTATTCACTCGTGATATCGTTTGAAATCCCGGCTTTTTTTTCCCTTAATCCGGACATCGTCGTAACGACAATTTTAGTTCTACAAATAAAGAACACTTGACAGAAGGTCTCATTGTATCTCCTGAATCGAATGGCCAAACCGAAGCCAAGAAAAATAGCGAGAGTGATTATCTGCTGTATTAGCAACACGACTTTATAAAAAGAGAATATGGCGCCGAAAAAAAAAAAAACAACAACAAAAAACTAAACAACGTGAGACATGAATACGATAAATGCGAGACTTGAATGAGAAAAGAAATTTATACAAAACATCGCTTTCTACAAAAAAAAAAAAAAAAAAAAAAAGAGGAAAAGTTACAAAGAAAGAATTTTTAAACAGAAGAAAATCCACATCAGCACAAAATAAGAAGAAAATGTGAAGCGGACGCGAAGAAATGAAGAAAATTGCATTTCTAGTAAAGAATTCTCAGAACGTTAAAACATTTACAAGTTTATATATAGAAACTTATATTGGTGCTACTACAGCGTGAGGTCTACCTCAATATAGCATGAGATCTACATGCCGTTTCGTCTAGCTCAATATAGCGTGAGGTCTACCTCAATATTGCGTGAGCTCTACCTCAATATAAGGTGAGGTCTACCTCAATATAGCGTGAGATCTACGTCCCGTTTCAACTATAGCGTGAGGTCTACCTCAATATAGCGTGAGATCTACCTCCCGTTTCGTCTCCCTCAATATAGCGTGATGTTTACCGCAATATACTGTGAAATCTACCTCCTGTTGCGTCTATAGCGTGAGGTCTACCTCAATGTAGCGTGAGATATACCTCCCGTTTTAAATATAGCGTGAAGTCTATTTCTATACAACGTGGGGTCTACCTCAGCATTGAAGTATAATATATTGTATGTGTATACATATTTATTAAAACCTTTTATTATTATTTATATATCTATACACTATTTGTATTTGTATTTATATTAAAAGCAGAGAGGTAAAAATAAATGTAGTTGAAACAGAACCAGTGAATAAACTTATACCATAGCTTTATTGCACTTTGATTACTCGACTACTGACAGATATTACAGGGTGGTTTTTATACCTCTTAAGGGGAGGTAACTGAGGATTTATCAGTACAATAAACACGCTATTAAATAAGTTTAATTTTAGCGATAAACACTCTTGTAGAGTAGTTTTCCCAGTGGAGGTTTGTATTTCACTAAGTCGGTCCTAAAAAGGGTCCGACGTACAAAACGTTAGGAACTTGAAATAAGAGTTAATGACGCAGCAATCTAGTTGTGATGGTTGATACTTCAATGTCCGACATCCACTGAGCTCAACTGGCGACCGCTACATAATTCTGACCGTTGTCCGTCGCGTATAACGTTCATGCCCGAAATTAAAAGCATAAAAATGTGGCAATTTACCCTTCATATATATATATATATATATATATATATATATATATATATATATATATATATATATATATATGACTATTTATCCTCTGACATTTCATTCTGTATATATTTATATATATATTTAGTTGGATTGATGTGAGATTGTGAAGCTGGGTTTCACGTTATTTGGCGTTCCCAAGGTGACAACCCAGGGTGACAAACTCACCAATCCAACTAAATATGTTAGCTCTATCAATGATATTGAGCGCTTTCTAATAAATACCGCGTATATATATATATAAATAATATATATATATAAATTGCATATGAACTCAATACTAATTATAAAATTCCCTTTCTTTGACATATTGATAAACACAAATAATAACAAATTTACTATTTCGCCATACAAAAAAGCTACAAGCATAAATTCATGTACACTTAACTACAAGAGCGAATGCCCATATTACTACAAAATAGCAATTATAAAGAATCTAATACATCGTGCAGAAACTAATTCATCCACAAAACAGATTTTTTACAGTGAACTTAAGAATATAAAACAGACACTTATTAATAATAGCTTTCCAAACTATATAGTTGATGAACAAATAAGATGCTTTCTTAGAAATCTCAATAATAAGCAAATTGTACATAATACTGCTTCTACTAATCTCAAACATATTAATCTCCTATATCTTAATCAAATGCATACTAATGAAAATATACTAAAGAATTTAGTAAATACTAATATATCAACAACAGATCCTAGCAAAAAAATTAAATTAATCATATACTACACTAAATCTAGTATATCCAACTTAATTCTTCATAATGATTCTTCTCCCCCGGTTAGCGATTTGCAAAAAGACCAACATAGTTTATAAATTGTATCTCCAACGAATTAAATAATATTTATGTTGGTCACATCACAAACTCGCTTTCACGACGTTTGACACTACATCTCTAACATTTTTAGGCATTTAAAACAACATGCCTAACTGCACACACAATTCCGTAAAATCCTTGTTAAAAACACAATTTTACTTAAACATGGAAACAATAAACAATAAACTAAAAATCCTTGAAGCTATATACATTAAACAGTTGAAAGCTAACCTAAACAAAATCAACTATGGAATCTCTACAAATATCCTTAAATGTCTATAATTGGTAACAGAAGCCATTGGTTTATACCAGCTTCCCATACTTAATAATTCTCGAATTCACATTCGCGTGGTTATATCTGACGTCATGAGCTGCGGTGCGATCTTCGCTTCTAG